CCCCAAAACCCCAAAACCCCATTTTGATTATTTTCAAGCTAAATTTATCACAGTGAAATTATTGATTGACATTTAGAATTTCAAAATTTAAATAATTGCTTTTGATTACCAATTCAATTTAAAACTAATTAAAATGTAATAAAATCACAACTTACAAGCGAATAAAAAACACAAGTCAAAGAAGTAGTCTGTAATCATGCAGGATAAAATGGCTCACAACAATGCCTGCAAGAAGCAAATGAAAGATAAATTTAAATCACTTGATTATTTCGGTTAGACAGTTACTTTTACATATGACGGAGCTGATTAGTTTAAGACCACTTTTGGTGCCTCAGTATCCCTTGTTCTTATTCTTATTCTGATGCTTTTCGGAGTCTACAAGTTTGTTTACCTAGTTAATAGATGGAATCCGAATGTAATCAAGACTAGTTTTCTTAGAGATTTAAAAGAAGAACCAGCTTTCAGACCTCAAGATCTTGGGTTTGATTTTGCTTTTGGAATCGGAGAAGAAATACCAGCAAATATTGGAAAGTTTTCTGTCAAATAAATAGAATTTGAATTTTAAAAATAGAATGATGGTCAATTGAAAAGAATTAAGAAACCTTCTGAAGAAATTGAATTAACATCATGTGGCACTGAACTCTTTAGATACGAGGACAAGCAAGAGATAATTGACCTTGAAATAGACTCAATGAAATGCCTTAAAACCAATGATTATGAATTGAAGGGCAACTACTATGCATAAGAATATAAATATCTTGAGCTTAAACTATGGAAATGTGGTCCTAAATTAGATCCTACTCTAAAGTGTGCTAACGAGACTGTAATAAAGAAATACTTTTCAGACAAAACCTTCAGCTTTGCATTCATTAATACTCAGTTTGTACTAGATAGTTATGATCCAAAAGAAAGACTTCAATATTTTATAGATGACTCATTGCTTTTTGAAGTGGAGTCCCAAAGAGTGAAAAAAGCTAATTTTTATGTGTAGAAATCTGAAGGAGAGCTCGAAGATTCACTTTTACAGTTTGGACAATCAGAACTCATTGAATTCCACTAGGTTACAAATTTTAAATCCTACGACGATGAATATACTGATGATGATGGGTACATGATTGCAATTTATATTAGGTTTGACAGAACCTATGACAATTATGAAAGGAAAGTTTATGGATTTCTAGAATTTTTGGGTGATGTTGGAGGTCTTCAAGGGTCACTTATATCAATAGGTATGTTTTTTGTCGGATTTGTGGCATAGCGTCTCTTTTTTTCAAAAATTATCAAAAAGATTTACTAAGTCAGAAAATATGAGAACTTTGAAAATCAAGGTACCAATTCAAATAATCTAAAAAAAGCATGATCAAGGTAAATATCCTCACAAAAGAATAAATTCATATACAGGATTAAATAATCATCGAACATAGATCTACCCAAGTAATGGACCTGCTCCTACTCGATTAGATGACAGTATGCTGAAAGGAACTCTAGATCCTGAAGTTGGAGCTCCCCAAAATTATCAACTTATCTAGTCCAAAGTTACTGATGAATTCAAAGGAGTAACTAACATCAAGGAATAAGAACAAAGTTTGCAGAAGGAATTCAAATTTAAAGATAAAATCGAATAAAAAGATATTGGAAATGTCCTCTTTGCCTTCTTAAATAGAAGTAGATTTTCTTATACAATATAAGATATAATTCATTATATCATGAAATGTATGTGCCTTAGAAATATTGAGGAAAACAGAAGAAGGAAACTTTACAAAAGACACTTTTTATTTGATAAAGCACAGGAAAAATTTGGTTAGGAACTAGACGCAATAAGAATAGTTAAAACTCTGAGGAAATTCAAGATGCTTGCTTAGGCATTACTCTCTCAAAAACATAGACTTGTTCTAAAATTCTAGAGGCAAAACTTAATTGAGACTAGTTCCTCGTCTTCAGACTCTGACAATAATAATTATGATACAGTAAGACTGATGGAAAATACCAATCCTTTGATTAGACTTGTGATGTTCGGTAAACTTAAAAAAATGATGACTGGATTTAGTGGCAAGCAACTAGAGCCTTTAGAACGAAACATGATGAGAGGAATGTTCATCAGAAAGCTTAAAGATTTCGCTGAAGATGCTAGAAATCTGACAGAAAATTAGACTCTACTTGAAAGACTCAAGGGGGATATGGGATTACCCACAAAATAAAACTCAGAAATAGATCACTCTATTGTGAATGTAAGTCAGGGCCTTGTAGTTTAGAAAAGTAAAAAATTCCAAGATGAACCTGATTTGATTGAAGATATAATATAAGGCAGAGAATTACTGCAATAAAATCAGGAATTAGAGGATAATAATGGTATTGATGATTGGAAAACTTGATGATGATTTTGTAACTGCCATTATTGTGATATTTTTACAATTATATATATCTGATTTTATTGATCATTGAACATTAAAAACATAAAAATCATGATCACTTGGGGTTTTGGGGTTTTGGGGTTTTGGGG